GCTTTAGCCAAGCGCACAGGTACACACAAAACTTTTTAATGGAAGTGAAAGTTTTTGCGCGAAGCCAGTGTCTAAAAAAAAACATAAAAATACAAGAAAAAAACTTTAAAAATTTGCCCAACACACATGCCGCATATCTAAAAAGGTTTTTATTTCTGTTTCCATTTTTTTTTGTTTTCAGTTATTTTATTGGAGCTGCTAGCGCCAGCAGACAAATAAATGAAAATAAAAATATAAATAAACATCAAATTAAGTGTATAATAAAAAATGCACATTAACAAATATGCGAAGCAGCTGCTGGAATATAGCGCGAGCCAAAATATATATTTAGCAACAAACGTCAACAAATATTTAAATTTTTTTTAGTTTTGATTTAATTTCGTTATTATTCAATGCGCATCTGAATTGTTTAGAAAACGTAGAAAAGAACGCGCTGAAAATTAATAAACAAATGTGAATGCGAATTCGAATGCGAATGAATGAAAGTTGAGCCATGCCTTATGGTTGTCTCAAATGCCTTATTTATTCTGGCATACTATACTCTAGATACTAATATATATTTATATGTGTGTGTATATGTTTTGTATAAATATATCAATAAATCGTACGAGGAATTTCAGTTTCATTTGTTTTTGCCATTCGCCGTTTTTTGTTGTTGGCATTTCAGAGGATGCTATGTTTAGATATCTATCAATACGAACTATAGACAGGAATTTATAAAAATAGCACTGTGGACGTTTATACGAAGACTTTACATACTACACTTAGACTGTGGACTAAATAGGGCTATTGACATTTGGAAAAAGGTTTTCTTTGATTCTAAAGGCGTGAAAAAATAGGAAAAGCCCTGAAGAAGCATTAAAAATGTATTTCAACAAGCAATTTGTTTATAAATACCTCTTATTAATAGATTCAACTTAAATTCTTAAATATACACAGACTGTTAAAAACCGACCTGAGGCGCTATATAATTATTTCAAATATGCATATTATAGATATTAAATATATGTACCCTACTTCCATAACAAGCCACAAACTTCCAATTAAAAATTATCGAACTATTAAATTTCCATTGCAAATAAGTTCATATCTATCAGATGTCAAGCTATATTGAATATCAAAGCTTTATACATGATTCATATGTAAATACTGATTATTTTATCAAAGAAAAGTCTAGATAGTGTGTCACATAAAATGAGTCATGGTGAAAACCTGAACTGAATGCCAAAAATGTAGCTCGAGAGGCAGCATATACTTAGAGATAGCTATATATTATATATGTAGTACAGTACTTAGTCAGCATGCAAATCAAATAAGCTGATAAATGAGGTTCACATTTGTAGGCTCTTTAAACATCTCAATAATACGTGATTGTATGAAGATGATTGGTAATGTAACAAGAAATTCTTATCACTGATCACGAGCGACATTTATACAACTAGAGTATTTAGAAAGTGAATGTGATGTTATGTAAGCGGGTAGCTGTGAAATAGAGAAATTATGTTCGAATAACTTATAACAATTAAGCAGTTAACTCTCATAGCATTATCTTAGATTTTGGGTAATGCATATAATGCATACCAAATTCAAAAGTCTATGAAACTAAATTTATGATACAAATATTAAATATATTAACTATTTTTATTTATTATTTATTTTTTTCAATAACATATATTTGCTAAAGTCTTGCTCTATTTTGTGAATAAAGATTATTATTATACTCTCTTTAAGTTATCCCAAAAGAGTTTACAGCTTAGGTCACTAGGTCTAATTATATATTGATGTTTTTTCGTATGCAAACATTTTTATTTGCAATCAAATTAGTTTTAATTAAGATCACACGTAACAAAACAAAAGTATGCAAGAAATATTTCTTCATAAATATATTTAAATGCTTTACTTTTAAGTGGTTTTTATATATCATTGTCTCTTTTACTTAGTTTCTAAGGCGCAGTTCATCAAACAGCACACAAAAAATCATCAGCTCCATCAACAACAACAAACAAAATATTCTTCGTTTTTTGTTTCATATGACTGTTGAATACAACAACAACAATAAGAATAAACAAACAGCAGTTGTCAGTTTCAATTTAAGTCAATTGAGCTCAATTATTTGATACGCAGATGAAAAAATAACCCGCGCGCCACAAGTTTCTCTGCTTATATGTGGTGTCTGCTTATTTGTGAGTGTGTGCTTGTGTGTGTGGGTGTGTGGGCTTTGCTGGTATGTGGCCCTCGGAAATGTGGGCGTGGCCAGAGCTAGAATTTACATGCTGTAAACAGTAAGCAATATGCGAAAACGTGAAACGCGAGGCACAGGTGTAAAAAACAACAACAACAGTAACAACAGACTTGGCAACAAGACAAGAGCCACAACAAAAACAACAGAAAAAACTGGTGTAAAGTCATTTTTTGCACTTGCTTGTTAAATACCCTGTAAGATTTATTACATGAGGTATGGCATGGCACAATTTTCTGTGAAGTACAGTAAAAACTGTCAATTAAAAAAGCTTAAAGTTGAATTGGAATAACATTTATTATAAAGATAAAATAATCAACTATTTATATAATATATTTTGAAAAACACATATTATAAATTCTATGTTCAAGGTTATATAAAATATATAATTAGTATCAAATTTTAAAAAAATATGTTTACAATTAATTTTTATTTACATGTGAGCAGTAAGAAGTTGTTATATTTTTAAAGTAATTTCCTCTATTGCTACTCTAGGGTATGTTTAAGTCCAGCTTACCCGCAACAACTCTTACTTGTTTTGGCTACAGCATTTTGCTACTACTGCGTTTGTTGTTGTTTTATATTTTTTATACACCACAACAAAACAGATGTTACCAGAGCAGCAGCAGCCAGTTGGTCAGTTGTTGGCCTAAAGCAAGGGTTATTCGATGCCAGCCCAAAGCCAACAACAACTTCAAATAATAGTAGATGTAGGTGTAGGTGTAAGTGTGTGTGTGTGCGAGCGGATGTTTGAGTTGAGTGCACAGCTACCGAGGCGCAACGAAATTAATCGAACTCTATGCGCACGTTATGCTTCAAACACGAGCCAAGCACACACAAACACAAATCCATACACACATATATATATATATATATATATATATTAAATAAACACAAATGTATATTTGTTGCATCTGTAGTTATCTGGCAACTTGACACGTTTCGGTCTGAAGGCAGTTTCCATCGCTTTGGCAGCTATAAAAATGTGCCATAATCGTGCGCAGTCGCAGCGCGAATCTTTGGCTCAAGAAGACGTGAGGCACATAATAATAACAGTACTTGTTATACGTTATAAAGCATATAACACAAATACACATACAGCATAATGAGAAAGCTTGCCCAAAAAACTATACAATATATATATATGTAAATATCATAAAAGAAAAGAGAAAAACATCAGACAGCACAATTAGAAATCAAAGAGAAACAAAAATTAACCACTAACGAACGGCTAATACTCTTCTAAGGGAAATTTCTTGTGAGTAAAATCTTGTATTATATGAACTCCGTGCAACGATCTAGAGCTGACTCAATTTTTTACATATGCAATAATATTTGTACAGTCTGCAGGGTTAAACAAGTTTTTGAAAGTAGGGGTTGCCATGAAAGAAACAACATACTCCATGCTGTTTTCACATCTTAACTCTAATGCTAGCTAAAAGTCCCTGCACAAAGGAAATTGTTATAAAAATTTCCTACAAAGGCAACAGAGCCTAAGTTTTGTAGTGTAAAATAAAGTAACAGCGGGCAAAAAGGAAAGGCCATTGCGACAGGAGTTGGATTATTACTTTTTTTTCTTTTTATTTTGGGAAAGTAACGCGGCGACTGGCAATGTAGCGGCAGAGGCGGTGCAGTTCCAGACGTAGGCGAAGTGGAAATACGAAGACAGCGCTAGGCGCAATTGGAACTACTTGTGAGTTCAATGTCAACGGCGTGAATACATTTTTTTAAAAAACTTTTTTTATTACCACTTCCGTGGCGTTGTGTAAAGGAAACCTACAACTAACTAAAGTATGGCCACACCTAAGCCAAAGCCTCGAAAACAAGTAAATGAAAAAAAGACAAAACAAAAAAACAGTGAAATGAATAAGCCAAAGGAGAAGGAGCAAGCAGTCGGGCGGCATTTACAGCGCGAAATGGGGTGGAATGTGTTAAAACAGATATAAAGACAGACAGCAAGGGACAGGGTGAGGGGCAGACAGACAAACAGGCAGCAGGCATATGGTGGAGTTGGCTCAGGTGTGAGTGTGTGTAAGTGGGACCAGTGGGGTGACATAAATGTAGTGTAAAAGCAACAAAATAATATGCATACACACACTCACTCCCGTCATCTATGTACACATGTATTTGCCCTTTTACATACTAGCAGCAACAACAAAAGCAACAGCAATAAAAGCAAAAGGCAAAATGCGTACATTATGCGAGCGGCGATCTATGCGTGGGAATAGGAGGCACACACAGAGAGATAGGGAGAGCGTGAGAGTAAGAGGTGACAAAAACGTATGACGAAAGTGTACACAGAAGCTGCAGGGGGGAGGGAAGATGTTGACCCTCCTTAAAATGGGGCGTTGTTGTAATACTCGGTAACTGTTATTTGTTTTTTTTGCCGTATTTGACACACAATTCGCACTGATGGGAAAATCTTAAAACAATAACACAATTAACAGATAGCGTTTTGAAATGCTTGAGAGTAGCATAAAAACAAGCGTCTTTTATTTATTATGTCTTCTTTAACAATACACATACACTGACACACATTTTTAAATAGAAGAAGAAATATATTTCTGCTGCTGCTGTAAGCAGCATATCTTTTTTCTTTTGCTTTTCACACACTCACACACTGACACAAACGCACACTCATACACAATTACAGGGGCCAAGCGCATAGACACACTCATACATACGCACTTCATACATATACTGGCAGACATGCTAGTTTGTCTGCCGCTTATTTAATAAATTGAACCAACATTAAACACACCTTAATTGCACATTGAAGCACTTGCATGTAATTGTAATTAGATTACAACATTTCAAGCAGTTTTCACTAGCAAAAATTTTGCAGGGTTTTCGATTGGAAACGCGAAAACAAAAATTGCGGCGCACACACTAACGACCACCGAACCGACGACGACCAACTAAAAAGTACTACTGAACGTGGTGTGACCAACTTGTACTAAACGATACCTACTCATGTTGCACAACAGAATCGATTAATACTTGTATGCGATAGTAGTATATTTTGAGCAACAACTCTTACGGGCACACTGTCTTACTGCAATTGTAAATATTAAAATGAATCCGCTAACTAATATGCGAAATGTGCTTAAATTAAGCGAGCACGAGCTTAAAAACCCAAGTAGCAAGAGCTGGCATGACATGTACCGAGACTCCGCTTGGATTTTTATTGCGGGGTTTCCTTACACCCTCTCCGAGGGCGACATCATCTGCGTGTTCTCTCAGTATGGCGAAATTGTGAATATTAATTTGATTCGCGACAGCAAGACGGGAAAATCAAAAGGTTTCTGTTTCCTGTGCTATGAGGACCAGCGCTCCACAGTACTTGCCGTGGATAATTTGAACGGTATTAAAATTATCGATCGCACACTGCGAGTGGATCACGTTGCGGACTATAAACCGCCAAAGGATAATGAGAAACTGGATGAAGAAACGCTGCGGCTGTACATGGAAGGCTGTGCGCCGCAGCCTGTGATTAAACCTAATGCTACAACCACAGAGCGCGACCTAAAGATATCTGCTCATATAAAGCAGGAGAAGCTGAAGCGCAACAAGAACTCCAAGGAGAAAAAACATAAAAAGCGAAGGAAAAGCTCCGACTAGATTTTAATTTTAAGCAGATCCCATAATTAGTAATTGTTGGTAGTGGGCAGTGTAAGCTCGCCATTAACTATGTTGCGCTTAGAATAATAATGTAGTTCTTAAGAACACATATTTACATATGCTGTATCAAAAGTTCATTCTGTAAACGCGTTCTTTTATCAAATTTCTCTCAGATGCTCAGTTCAGTCGAATCGCATTTCTTATATCCATTATATCTTTTGGTTGTATAGCCTTTTATAATATATGTAACTTGAAGACTATGTTGTACGTTAAGTAAACAGATATGAGTGTTCATCTTTATATTAAAAGTTGATTACAAGAGTCAAGAGTAATATGTCACATAATTTATAGATAAACTATTGAGCGAATATATAAAATATCTCAACTGGTTAGTTTGCTTACATATTTAATCAATATTTATGTATAAATAGAATGTATATTTTTATAAAGCTTAACTAAAAGAACATTCGAATATCTAAAAATCCACTTTTGAATAGTTTTAAGTTAAATATATAAGGATATAGTAAAGCTTTTTAAGCGCTCCTTAATCGCTTTCCACGCCCTGCTCGCTTGCGCTCTCGAAGATGGCATCCGCTTCATCAGAATCCGAATCTTCAGAGCATGATTCAAGACCCTCTGCCTCTCGAAGGATTCTACGTTTATATCGTTCGTATGCGCTTCCTTGACGCTCCACATTAAAGAAGTCCACGTCATCCACAAAGCTTGCTGCTTCTGCATCTATGGTATGCATATAAGGATCATGGTACTCATTGTGATCCTCCGCATCACTCGAGCCACTGGCAAATTCATCCTCATCATCATCTACAAAGAACATGCAAACTCAGCAATTTGCAAATTTGTATATAGATGGGGCATAGAAGTCATACCAAACATAAACTTATTCATTTGCTGGCACAGCTCATCGTCGGAGCCCATAACGCCGGCATCATCATCATCAGGATAATCGTTCGTATAGTAGTTCTCCTGATTTGAATCTTCCGAGTCGTAGTCCTCGTCATCGTTGTAGCAATCCTCGTAGACAACCTCGTTAACAGGACGAAGACTAAAATGGAAGAGTAAGTAAATGCTTGATTGAACTGATTGACTATAAACGTGAATGAATTTTGTTTTAAATGATTGATTGATTTAAATGATTGAATTGTTAAGTGACTGACAGAATGTTGGATTGATTTATTGATTTACTGACTTATATGCAAAAATCAAGATTGATTGATTGAATAGTTGCAAAGCATTATTATTTTAAGGGGCATTAAGTATATTAATAATTGAATGACTGATTAGATTTCTGATTAATTGAAGGTTTCCAAATTACATTGATTGATGAGCTCATTTAGAATGAATGGTTGGTTGCTTGATGGGTTGATTTGTGTAACAGGAAAAGATTGATTCAAATGATTGATTGACAATTCTACAGACTAAGGGGTCGAGTTCTGAATGAATAATATTATGCGTTGTATGCCTGGAACATTTTGAATTTCAATTCAATGAATTCAGATTGTTTTATTTTGATTGATTGATTGTTGAATGGGTTGACTGAAGAATTAATTGACTAAATTACTACTCAATTCATTGCTTGATTGACGGATTGAAGAGTTATTTAATATAACGGTAAATTGTCTTACTGATGCATCGGAAACTGATTGAAAGGTTGATAACTGATAGATTGATTGACGATCTACACGCAGCACAGCTCCGAAAAGTTAGAAAGGTAAATTTGTTTAATAGCTAAACGGGATTTGGAAAAATTCCTTTTGGGTTTGTAAAGATCCACTCTCTTCAATAGACAAGGAGACTATAAAAAGGATTTATATATATGCACTATATAAATAGAAGGTTACCGAGGAAGCTGGGAAAACTCTTCAGAAAAGAAACCTTCCCACGCATAGAATCATTCAAGCATTCCACACAGTTAATTTAATAATCTTTCGTTCATAAAAGCTGACAAAAAATTGTATTTGAAGAAAAACACTTGAGCCGCGCAAAGCCGGGCAGCGACTTCTATGAATTCACATATACATATATATTTTTATTTGATTTCGGCGCTAAACTAAAACTAAGCACTTAATTAGACTTTAGCACAAGATTTGTGGAATGACTTAAATTGAAAGCGAATAAAAAACTTAAAAAACTGGCAACTGGCAACGAATTGGGACAACATAAAAAAAATATATATATATAAATGTGTAAGTATGTGTGTGTGTGTGGTGAGGTGCAAAAAGCATAAGAAAGAAACTAAAAGCTAATTAAGTTGATCTTGTTGCTATTTTGAAGGAAGAGCTGCAAGCCGTGCGATGTTTTGTTATTGTGTGGGTGCGAACAGGGGGCGGTTAGACTCTGGGCGTGGCACATCGTTGCGGCAGAGCTGCTGTAGTAGTAGTTGTTGCTGTGGTTGCTGTGTTACCAGTAGCAGTTGTTGTAGTAATTAAACGGGTAATACAACCTTATATAGAGAATCAGACAAATTAACAATAACAAATAAATTATTGGAAAATTTGAAATCTGATTTCAGATGCTTACAACTAAATGAGGGACAAGGTAAGACAACATTTAAGAATATATCTATATATATCTATATGTATATATATATATATATATATATATATATATCTATATGTGTATGTGAGAGTGTATAGATATAGAATAGTTTTACGACTAGCCAAAAGATAATGTGATGCGTTTTACATAAAGAAATTTGTAAGTTGCAACAATTGTTGTACGTCATTTGTGTTTAGGACGAACCTTAAATAGTTGTCATCGAACATATCAACATATTGCGCCTGCATCTCATTCTCCGGCACATATAAATCGTATACATAGCCAATGTCTGAATCAACGGGCTGATGATCCTGCAGCGGGACATTTGGTTCTGGTTCTCTTTGCTGGGACTCGATGTCCACAATTGTTATTTGCCGGCGTTCAGTCTTGCTTTGGTCCTGGTTACTGCTGCTTCCACTTGCTGCCCCCGTCGTCTCTTCCTGCTCTGATTCCTCGTCCAAATCGTTAAGCGTAGTTCGTAGACAGTTGACCACTCGGTATCGCTGCTCCCGGGCTAATTGCTGTTGCTCCTGTCGCTGTTTTTCGCGACGCAGAGCACTGGCTTTTGTTGGATCAGTGGTCTGACACACTAACTCCTTAGCAGTGGCTTTGTTTAAGCGAGCTGCTGCAAATTGTTTGGTGGCACAGTCATCCTAAAACAAAGAGAGGGAGAGAGATAGAATTCAGTGATCTAAGCCTTTCTTTCCAACCACCAGACATATAACTAAATATCAGCCATTCTAAAGTCAGCTCACGCGCTCTAGCCGCGGTACTGTTAAAATTGTACAAATACTCTGCCCACCCTCACCTGTTTATCCAGCGTGCCGGCAAACTTCAACAGCACTTGATTTTGCTCCTCTTTGTTTTCTGCAATCGCTGTCGCCGACGCAGCGAGCGCATTTTCATCGTTAAGCAGACGGCGGCGTTTGCCATTTAGTAGAAATGCCGAATGAGGTTCTTCGTCAATGCGGCGCTTTATTCGCACCACGGCGGGCATATTAAATAATTTTAATCGTTTCTTTGATTGTAATTTACTAACAAAAATATATTTTTGACGCTTGCGACACAACTAAGAATGTGCTATCAATAGCGTGACCGTAAGTAACAGGCAATAAGATACTAAAAGGCGAAAATATGAAAATACACTCTTTAGTATTTAAATGCTAAAACCATATCGATAAACACAGCCAACACTCAGTTCGTGATCGTAACGTGCAAAATTATCGATTCTATATTGTGGAGTAATTTGAAATAAAGTGCGAACAAAAAATATTAATTAAAAAAAACTGATTGTGGGTTGACACATCATACTGTGCGAATAGGCCGTCCTATATATTTAAATGTTAAAGAAATTTCAATTAAAATATAACAACTGCTTCTCAAAGCTTCGTTAGCCTATTGCAGTAATAATATAGGTAATTCAATATTTTTTTTATTGAGTTTTTTTGTTTGAATATGTTTATCAAAAAGTTTTGAAATGCTTTGCATGAGTTTAAGTTGAAAGAGTGCTGAGATGAAAAACGTAAACAACTAGGTGAACATTTTTATTTATCCACTATGTCGCATTTTTTCAACAGTTGTGTACAAAAAATGAACATAATGTAATTCAATATTAAATATTTCATTTTACATAAATAAATTAATTTTTGCTTAAATATTTTTCTTGTTCATATTTAATTGATATATGGATACTATAAAATAAAACAAAATTACAGACGGTGACTGTAATCGGGAGCATCTGGTTTCAACACGTAACGGTTAACTTCGACTGTTAGTTACCAGAGGCACGCTCTCTCGCTAACATTGCGCTCCCAAAAAGTATGCAATGCGTACAACGAAAAAAGGGAATGTGAATTAGTCGGTTTGTGTACGCGCCGGGGTGTAGTTGTGTTGATGTCGCGCGTGTGAATGTGGGAATATTGCGAAATCTACCGTTAGCGTTTACGTGCTCCGGCAGGAGCAACACCAACCAAATTTGAACGTGTCGAAAATGCCAAAGCTGTTAGTCTTGCTCTCTCTTTTTCTGTCAAGTGCAATAAATTTAAGTGTGCTTAAAAAAGTTTAAAGCACGACAGCATCACCCTGTGAGTGAATTGGCCTCGTGCATATGTGCGTGTCCTTGTGCGTGTGTGTGTTAGTCGCAATTCACATTGTCTCGCATTCGCGCGCGCAATTTGGCTGTCTGTGTATTGTGTTAATATATATGTGTGTGCGTGTGCTTGTGTGTGCTGCAATTTGCACGCCAATGATTTACCGTTTGATTGCTATCAACGCTTGCCGCAATTATGTTTTAATTGTCGCTAAATGGTTTACACACAACGGGATTAGCTGCAGCCCTTTGCGACAGGTGAGTGTCAACTTCCCACCCTTTGAGCTGTTACTCACCTGTGCAGCATCTCAAAAGTAAATTGAATTCTAACTAATCCCGCATTCACAACGGCCTGCAGACTATAAAAATATTTACGAGTAAATATGTATTACAAGGAAGCTGCCACGCCGTAAACAAACCATATGTTTTGTTTGGGCATACTTTTTTATACCCTGTAGCTATGGGAAATGAGTAGCTAAAGTGGGGTAAACATGTACGCACTCTGCATATTAATGGAAATCGAGCAGAGACATTTTATAATGCCCAATATCTTGATCACAAATACAAAATAAATGCATCTAAGCCCATTAAGACACAACACCCTAGATTTATAAGAAAGAAGTGAAAAATATACTAAATAATAAAAGCACAAATAAAATATAATACAATTTGTCAATTAAATAATAACTGTACTTAAAGTGCAGGCTAAGTAAACGATAGCAGCTCAGATCATTTGAACAGTGTCTGCGGTTACAGGGTATTTGAAAGTCGAGCATACTCCCAACTAGTACTCTTCCTTGGTTTATGATCAGTGGTGGGGTGTCTAAAAATTTGCTAGCGCATGAATCATTGCGCCTGCCCCCAATACGTAATATGAGACGCGTCTGCAAAGCTTAAGTGTGCGTGTGTGTGTGTGTGTGTGCGTGGGGGATTTGAACTGGATGCGCTTGGCATAATAATGAAATAATAATGTCGCCTTTTGTTGTGAGGTGTCTCTCAGCCGTTGTGGCAATAAATTAATGGGCCTGCCACATAAAAAGCGCCCCATACACGCGGGTCCTTTTTTCGCCTGTTTGTTTGATTACAGCCTCTCACATGACTTTCGCGCACCAGTTATGAGTGGGGCAGATAGAAGTTGTTGCAACAGCGTCAGCTGTTCTGGCAACAGCAGCCGCTAAGCCCAAAAGATTAACATAAATATTCTGGTTCACGCTGTTGTTTCATGATGAGCAAAGAAGCTGCTGATAAAATGCTAATCATACAAACAGTGTTGCCGCGACAACAAAAACAACAACTAAAACAGCAGCAACAGCAGCTTCAACAAGGATATGCCACACGCAACGGCTGTGTCCTCAACATTTCATTTCTTTTCTTTTCTTTTCCTTTCAGTTTTTTGGTGGTAGCAAAAAAAAAACTGCTTGAGAAACTTTTGCGCTTTCCACTTAGACAAGTTGGTTTTCATTTTTAACATGAGGAGTTTCCCTAAGAGGCAATCAACACTTAGTCATACAGCTTGTTATGTTTGATCTCTACAGTTCCTCAGAACATTTTTTTAACAGTTTCTCATGCTGTTATTCTTAATGTTATGTTACAATATGTTAAAGTGCCCGATAAAGTTGGTTAAGATTCATTTTCATCATGATTATAGAATAGGAAAAGGTTTAACTTTCAATTCTGAATGTTTAATTTTACAAAACCTTAAAACTTATTTAAAATTTCTACAAAAAATATTTAAAATTATATTTTATTCACTTTATTTTCTATATCAAATTTATATTTTGCTTAAGATTTAATTAATTTAATAAAAGAAAATATTTATATCAAAATTTGGTTTTGTTTAGAGTATTTCAACTTCCACCTAGCCCAATATGTCTCTATAGTATTTTTTTTTTTGGCTGCAGCTATACTTTGCAACATTTTTGATTAGCTCAAAGTTTAAGGGTGTGTGTGTGTGCAAAGGGGCTGGAGCTGTGGCTGAGGCTGGGGGATGCTTTAATTTTTGTTTAAACTTGACAGAAAACACCTCAGGCCTTCGCCCTGGTCGAGTGTCTCTTTGTGGCTTTGACAGCCTTTGTTTTTGTGAGGGGGCGTTTGGCTACTTAACCGATAAATTTTTGGCAGCAGCATCATATATCCTTGTTAATTTGTCTAAGGGTAGCTGCCTGCTTCAACTTGTACCTGTTTTGTTGCCCTCTCATGTTCATAAATCATTTTAATGCATCTTGCTCGAGACAAGTTGTCGGTCGGTCAGTTCATTGTGTTGGTCAGCTCAATAACTAATTCATCAACATCATAGTCATCTTTATCAGCGTCGTTATGAGCGAGAATAATGACAGGCAACAAGAGTCGTAAACTGAGCAATGGAGGAGGGTTAAAGGGGTTTCTTTGTTTTTCTCTATTTAAAGAATTTTATTGCTTCCTTATAAATTTTTTAAAATGTCACCCGGTAAAGATTTTTGCAGTTTTTGATTAATTATAGTTTATCAGTTTATTTTAGGCGTAACTTAAGCCGAAAATAAATATTTTAATGTTTCGTATTCTTTCAAAAAGAGGACAAATTCAAATACCAAATTTTTTAAATCGAGTTCAGAAATGTAATATTTGTTAAATAATAAACAACTTCCTCAAAATGTATGAGCTATTGGCGGACCCTTACTAGTTTTATGAATCTAGTTCTTAAAGATTGTTATAATGGTGTTAGAATGGATCAAGTTTAGAGATACTTTTTGGCGTCGGTCCCTTTTCGATTTTTGTACGTGTCTAGCTTTCATGAGTCTTCAGTTTATTGGCTTAAGTTTTTCGCCTGTTAAGTTGTCTCAATACCCGGTTATGTTCCATATTTTAGTACAAATATATCTTCATTTATTTTTAATACAATGGGCATTCAGGCTAAAATGGCTACGTGAAAATATATGAAACAGTCAGAAGGAGGCGTATTCGACCCCATAATGGATGTATATATATATATATATACTTGATCAGGACAACGATCTGAATCGATGTATCACTGTCACTCTGTCAGTCTCTTCGTCTGTCAGTCTGCGAGATGAATATACAGATCTTTTTTGTATATTTCGAATTTTGTATAGACCTGCGTAGACTTAGTAGAGCCGTGTGCCTTGGTTCATTCATACATCTGAATGGCGTAATACGCCATGAATATTTCATTAGCACTTACAAAAAAGTCATGCAACAATTCAGATCGCATAGCCTCTCCAGCAGCCTAAGCACAGCTGCTCAGCGGTGCTTGTGTGTGTATGTGTCTGTATATCTTGCTTACAATTTAGGAAATGCAGCTCAGAGTATCGTAGTTTGCAGGGTATCTTCTAGTCGAGCACACCGGACAAAAGCTTTCTTACGTGTTCATCCATATTTAATTCATATTTCATAGCTTATTTCATACCTTATCGCAGGGTATCGCAGCTTGCAGGGTATCTCCTAGTCGAGCACAGCCGACAAGAGCTTTCTTACTTGTTCACCCATACTTAATTTATATTTCATAGCTTATTTCATACCTTATTATGTAATGTATGAGTTTTGAATCAATGCAAAATTGTTTTTGAATATATGAAAGACCCGAATTGCAGCTCAAATATTTTCCTTTTTAATTTATTCAGTATGCTTTGATCTATGACAATAACAGCACTGATATGAATGTTCATAGATAATATAAATAAATGTATTTGTACTTAACTCTATTGGTGTAGATAGTGAAGAGCAAGAACTAATGTCTAAACATTTCAATTTGCTGACTATTTCTGTTTACAATTTCTTAAAATTCAATGCTGCCAGCAGTCGGCTCAGTCGTTAATGCTTTAACATTAAATATTGAAAATGAAGCAAGTTGCAGATTCTTATCGTCGAGTTTAAAGTGCTCAACAGTTACTCAACTGCTCTCATGACTCCTCAATTGGGCTCATATATTATTTAAACGAAAGTGTAAAACGAGCGAAAATAAGACACAGACACAGAAAACTGAGCTGAGTTGAGTAGAGTTCAGCAAAGCGTTTTGCTGCAATGGATTTATGCGTCTTTTGATAACTAATTCCCTTTGGGCGACTGTCAACAAGGAGATAAACTGCTAGGCAACTGCCAGAAGTCCAGTCCAAAGCATATGTG